ATAAATCCTTGTAGATTCTCCTTAATCTTTCAGTTTTTATCACAATCTCGGAAACGTCGGATTCTTTCCGTCTCTCTGATCTTACTCTGTCTCTGCCGTACCCCTAACTGTGAATGCTGGGTGTAGATCCAAGAGCTCATGACCTAGGTATCTGTGCATCAATGCCTCAGGCTTTATCAAATGCTCCAATAATTATGCCGGCGAAATTCGTAAGTAATTCATCGGTAACGCTTCGTTGCAGATCGAGTTGCAGGTGCTCTTGGCCGAGGAAAAGCCGAATGTAAGGCCAGTACTTCGCCTACACCTTCCCTGAGCACGTTAACTGCAAGAAGATGGGTCCTCTCTTGATTCTTAGTTGATACAGATGACTTTTAGATATTGAATTGCTTCGGAGAATTAGGAGGTACTTGCAGAGAGAGTCGCGTGATGATTTGGTATGAAAATGAACATCTGAGTTGTTCGGGGAAAGTTAATGCCTAGTTATTGATTTGTGACGGGAATCCTAGCACTACTACAGCATCACACGGAGAAAGCGAATAATTTTCCAACGACTTTGAATGATATTGACTCAGTTTGACATTTGGGCAATTCATGTAGTGGTTATATTCGCTGATATCACTCGGGACCATTTCCTTTGGACTTTCACACTTCCCTCAACCGTTAGTATCCACCAAGTGGAAAACAGGAAAACCTTTGGCTATCATAACATACCTGTGCCATCTTATAAATAGCCGCCGCGCGAAATATGGCCTCACAATCCTTCCTTTCTCTAGTGAGGTAGATGTCCCGGCTAACCAGACTTTAATTCGAGGAGATTACGACCAGGAGGCAGACCAACACCTTCATTCGTTGCCTGCTGCAAGGGTGTCGATAGCACTATCCGAAATCATTGTCTCTGCGTCCACAGACACCCTAAATCAAAAGCATACGGAAAATTTGAGTTAAACTCGTTTGTGACCTCTTTACTCGCTCGTCTCACGTCTCAGCTGTCTACCCTCCGCCATGATGTGGGGCCTCATTCGAGCAACGGCCCCCCCCATAAACTAAAATTCGAGCTTTATATATTATGACTTAGGTTATTCCTCGCGGGTATACAAAGCATTGTAACTTTAAAGTGGGAGATGGCTGGTTTTTGATGATACAAATTCTCGATTGAAACTAGGGTAACGGCTTTATTGGTAGTAGAGGCGAGGTTGGGAGGCAAGATTAAGGTAGAGGATTCGTGTAATAATGGTAGGTCCGACATTGATGAGAAGTCGTCGAATTTAGAAGTGCTTAGTTTTGCTTTCGACTTCGATTCGGACGCGATTCCTCTTGGCGATCCAAGATGTGCAGAGCATACTGAGCGGTTACCCCTTTGCCGCTGGAAGGTAAAAAATTAGTCTTTGCCGGATTTTCTGAAAGGTGAAATTGTCATTTGTTCTAACTCGAGTATCGGATTGTCTTTCCGTCTTGGTCCTTCGATGTTAAATAAACTGTGATGCGCGATGGAATCAGTAAATCGTACGTGGTACATCAAACTCTTTCCTTTTCCCGCGCACGCAGTTTCCATTGCTACCATTTTACTTTTTTGGGTAGAAGTTTCCATGGAAAAGTTGGCCGAATTCCACGGATAAATACTGAGCTGGATGGCTATTCATCACGGGCAATATATCAGTGATCTTACAATAACAAAAGAGGCAAGGAGCACTGTACGAGGTGTGGCCTGGGTCAAAGAGGAGCCCAATTTGCTAGATAGTCTATGAATTAAGGAGTACAATAAAAACACGCACACATCAAACTCTTTGAGATCCCAATCTCACTAAGCCATTTTGAGCAATTGGTCTCTTGACGAGTAACTGTATACTTCTTGGAGCAATCCCACAAGTCTACGGGTCGCGCAAAAATCCCTACGATAGACAGTGCAAAGCCATTGACCAGGCTTCTGTGTCTGGAATCCGCGCTACCCTCCTGATCTGGCGCACCACGTTGATCATAACCCTGAGAAGGAAGAACGGTATTCTACCAGCACCTATTCGCCTTGATGAACGCAGGCTTCAGACTGTCGCCCGAACCCGTAGACTAGATTGCTACCATCCGCTTCGACTCCGAGCTGTGGAGACTACCGATAGAGCCCGTCTTCGCCACAGACTACAGACATGCAACAAAAGCAAATTCAGCCTCGACCTAGTTCACGAACCGAGGGTTCGTAGGACATTCCGATTCTTACCAGATACGGACTACCTCCACCTCCTCGACCACCGGTACCAGCCAAATCAAACCCTTGTTAGACAAGCAAGGAGGAAGCAGCTAGTCTCACGGCACAGTGGTTAACTGTCCTGCCATTCAACTGTCCTTGTGCGTACAGCGATGGTTCTAGAGCATCCGCCGAATAAGTTTCATGGGCCCTTGTAAACATTGTCAGTGGGACTGGCACATTCATCGAACGAAGAGGCTCGGGAAAATTCCCAAATGCGGAAGTCCATGGATCCATGGCTGCTCTTAAGACAACCACTACCAGGAAACGCAATCGAGGTCGCAGTGCCATCTACGTCCTGTTCGACAGTTCTACGGCAGTCCAAGCATTACTGACGGGAACAACTACCGCACCGTCCTGGCGGGTAAAAATTCTGGAAGATAGCCGCAAGGGCATCTGCGCTCATAAAAGTATGATGGATTCCGGGTCACTGAGCGCTGCCAAGGAACGTGATTGTGGGTAAGCTGAACAGAAGAGAGTTCATCTCACCGGGTATCGTCAGTGTGCTAAGCTCGTCAACTGGCTGGGCAAATGCTGACGGAGTGCTGACACCCTAACCACTCTAACGTCTACGCCACCCTCGAACTAGTGATAAGTTGTAAGAAACCACTTCAACAAAGTATAATATTCTCACCAACTGTCTATGGTGTCCACAATTAACCTCCAGCTCTTATTAAAGAGTCTGCAGAGCCAAGATTGAGTAATAAAGTCCTCACTCCCATGAGGATGCCATAATGCTTACGCCGCCTGTACTGTCTTCATTTCCCAACACATCCCCATACCACCACTTTCATGAAGCTAGTCGCCATCAGATCAGATAGTAGGGTCGGAGTCCTAACCATCACCAAACTTTGATCATGGAGGAAAGTCATCCGATTAGTTTTCCAGAATTTACCTAACACTCGATACGGCGATAATAGAACGGACCTAGTTGACCTGTAATGTTCCAAAAAGGAAGAGACAGATGAATATGCGCACCGCATGTGGCTCCGGTGTTTAGGCCTTGTACAACTGGAGCTGCAGGTTTTTTTGCGACTGTTACCTGCGCAAGCAATTTTCGGTGTTACCATTTTTTTGAGTAGAAATTTCAATGTAAAATTTATCCGATTCCCATGGGTAGCCACTAAGCTCAGTAGATATTCATCACAACAAATGTATCAGGATCTTTCAGGTAGTAGAAAATAATGACCACTGTGCAGGGTGTGGCCTAATTCGGAGTGGACCCAATATGTTAGAGAGTCTATGATGTAGTGCAATAAGTAAACCACTACTTCTTGAACGTCGGTTGTGTGGATGATCATGTATTTTATCTCTGTAGCTAGTATTATATAGCCAGATCGTTCTTTTTATGTGTGCCTCAGACCATAGCTATGTATGAGTTAAAGAATATCAACGTGCCACGGCTCGGCAAATGTACGATTATACAACCACTCACGTGATCTTTCCAACTCCCTCTGATCCCTAACTGAAACCGGGATAAGGAGGAGTGCTTTCGTTCAACCAAAAGGTACGTTTGGAAATCTATGTCTCAAGACGTCCTCACCATGGCTAATTCTTACATACCACCATCGTTAAGATCTACCATCTCTTTCGTCCCATGCATTATGCAACGCCTGCATTAGCTCCACTTGTCCAAAATCCCTGTACTGTCAACAAGATTCTTGTACAAGCAGCTGCACTACCGGCCGATGAACCTTTTCAAACCATGTGTCGAAACTCTATCTTCGCAACCCTGTGAGATTGCGTCTCTCGTATAACTTAAAATACATCCATGTCTCGAGAAGTTGCGGATCCAGCTAGTGACACAAGCGTGCACTAGCCCGAGCTCACCCCTGTCTATTCCCATGGCATGAGTAGCCGGCACCAGTGCCCGGGCCACCATCAAAGCGTCTTCCCGGTGAAACGGAAAAGAGTTGTAGGTGGTCATGAATACATGCACACTACATGTCTTTATCCCGTCAAACCAAATCGCGTTGCCCCCTGATGGTCAACCACAAGATAATTTATGTGGAATTCTCAACTAGTCCAATATACCGCTACCGATCGCCCATGGTCATCTCTCGTTTGGGCTTACAGATTCAAGGCTTCTTACGCTGCTCTTGTTCAATCTCTAGTCAATCTGACCATGTACAACACCTCCACACTTATCACATTCCACCTTGCCCTGAAATATGAATGCATCATCAAAATTTAGTTGATCAATCCCCACGGATAACTCTAATCCCAGCGTATGGTCAAGGCATGACTTAGCTCTAACATGTCAAATTCAGCGACCTTACCATTTCGGGGGCCCCCACCACGCAAGCTAGCTCATGGCATCACTCCCAGCGCCCTGAAGATTTGTGTATGACTTCATGAGCTGGCATCAAGAGACGATCAACCGGCGCTAACAGCCGGAAGGGCCAGTTAACCGCTAGAATAAGATATCGCCGAGATCGCTGACCCAATTTGACTTATTTGTGGGCTCGGAGTTGACGAAGCAGCTGAAGCCGCCTGGATCTTTCCGTACCCGGAATACAAATTGGCCATCGTTGTCTACCATCTACTTCATCTAATAGCTTCAGTCTAGACGTCGATAATCTCCGCAGTATTGCGCAACCAAAATAATACAGTACCGTCATCCCGTTTCATAGAAAATACAGCAATGTCAAATAACTAATTCGAATAATATTAATATTCTGAATAAGCTTTCAGTTTTGGTTAAATTCTCACAACTTCCCCTCTCTCTCTTTGCTTGGAATATCTCAACGAAAATCTCAGCAGTATGCTAAACAGCCTGGGGTTTATAATATTGTACGCATTGCCGCTCATCTCTTCAGCCAAGGTATCAAGAGTTCCAAGGCGCTCTCTCCCATCATACAATTATCATGGAGCGGAGTCAATTATCAATGCGCGTCAGCTCCCAACTATCGCAGTAAATACAGGCGCTCTTGCAGGACAGGGTCCAAACGGATCTGTTCCCTTACGACCAGAGGTCCAAGAACTGATGAAAAACCCTGAAATGTGGACATTGTATATATTAGGGCTTGACAGAATGCAAAATTTGGATCAAGATGAACTTATGTCTTGGTACAATATTGGAGGTAAGCTACACGACATGAATTGATATTATAGCAGCTCAGAGTCTAGGAATACACGGGCGCCCTCATACTCCCTATGATGGAGTACAGCCCAAACCTGGGAACGAAAATAATGGATACTGCACACATGTATCACAGTTATTCCCTACCTGGCATCGAGCATACCTCTCCTTATACGAGGTCAGTATTCTATGACGACCCGATAGTAATTTCTAATTTTCTTCAGCAATCTCTTTACGGCATGATTCAGAATATTGCAAACGCATATCCAGAAGGGCCAACTCGAGAAAGATATGTAAAAGCTGCTTCTAACTTTCGCATACCTTATTGGGACTGGGCTTCCGCCCAATCGACTGGGAATCAAACACAACCCCAAGATTTCGGAACGTTTCCGAATGTAAAAATTGATGGCCCAGCAGGCACTCAAATGATTGCAAATCCTCTGTACAGCTATAAATTTCATCCGCTAGACACGTCAGAATTTCAAGGTGACCCTGTAAGTGCTGTCAAAGTGTCCTGCGAAGTTTCTGTAAGTTAAACCTGTGCAGTTTGATAAGTATCCCGCCACAATACGCTATCCAACTGGAGAAACTGCTTCTGCAAGCTCCCAGAACAACATCTTTGAACAAAGGTTCGATAGCAGCAAAGACAATATTAGAAGTAGACTTTACGCGCTTTTGACAAACTACCATGATTACTTGGGATTCAGCAATGATGGATACCGAAAAGATGCGCCTCCCAACGAACAAGATTCTCTTGAAGCTATACACAACCTAGTACATACCCTTGTTGGCGGCCACAACGGACACATGTCATACCTTGACTACGCTGGGTTTGATCCATTTTTTTACCTCCATCACGCAATGATAGATCGCTCCTTTGCATTATGGCAAGCTCTCAATACAGATTCTTACGTAATGTCCGTACCCGCTGTGGCCAACACATATACTATATCCGTTGGCGACATGACTGATAGCAACACACCATTGACACCGTTTTTCAAAGACACATCTGGTAAATTCTGGACATCTTCCGACGTTAGAGATACGAAAAGTTTGGGTTATGACTACGCAGAGACATCGAACCCCGACCCAGCAGTAAGGAGGAAAGATGTAATTACGGCAGTTAATACACTCTACGGCCCTGGCGCTAGCAACCCTAGGAAAAGGAGTCTCAACGCCATCAGTATCTCAGAATCTGGAAAATACCGTGAATGGGTCGCAAACATACAAATGTACAAACATGGACTCAGTGTTCCATACGCTGTATTCATATTCCTAGGGCCCTCTAATCCTGACCCAAATGCTTGGTCTTCTGATCCCAATCTCGCAGGATTACACACAACTTTCGTCCGTAGTATCCCCGATAGTGAAGACTTCGTACCCCAAAACTCACCAATTGTCACTGCCGCAATTCCACTCACGCAGGCTCTGATTGATCACATCGGGCGGGGCGATCTAGAGAGCTTGAGTGTTGAGGATGTCACACCGTGGCTAGAAGAGAATTTACATTATCGTGTATCACTGCTCAACGGCACCGAAGTCAGCGGGGACAGTGTACCCGGGCTTAAAGTTTTTGTTGCTAGCGCAGAAATGAAACTACCAACCGAAGAAGTTGAAATGCCTGTATGGGGCGAGATGAAGGAACATATGCAGGTCATTGAAGCTTGTAGGACAGAAAAGTTATAAATAATTTAGACTAAGCTTTTGCCAAGTGCAAAACCTATAAACCTTGCTCATATGACTTCGAGAGGTACTGTGATTTTATGAGTGACGCTAAACCTTGTATATTTGTTCATGCAGAATAGCGAAAAATAAATTTATACATAGTGGCCCTAATGACATAGCCCAAGCCAGCCAAATCAAATTCGGATAAGCGAAAGAAGTTCGACTTGCACGAAAGGATCTGGATCATTTAGTTGATTTGCATAGGTCTGCAACAGGGGTCGAGAGAGCAGAATAACACTTGACTAACGAATTAATGCCTTTTTTCTAACTTCATGGACCTACTACCCTTTCAATACATCCGATTAGAAACCAAACAGCTGGACCCATGATGAAGAAATCCAGCTTAAAATCCAGACCTAGAATCAGTCACTATGATGAATTGGATTGCATCCAACTATCCAACTAGGTGAACACCTCACAGGAACACGTAGGTCATTTTGGCTCACTGCGAAAAGTGAGGCTACATACCTATGGCAGCTGCAGCTACAAAAATGCCAGGAACGAATATCCATATCATACTTACAGCATAGTTCTGACCATCGACTCTGGTGGGCTTAAGAGATTGAACTAACATGAACTAACCATTGCGCAGTTTCAATTATTCTTGATTTCCGAATTCATTTTGTATAATATTTTTTCTCGGGGATACCAAAGATCATGCCATGTAGTCCAGGTTACAAGGGCTGTGTAGGATACGAATTCGAGCTCCTCTCTTCGTACTCACATTCTACGTGGGCTGGGTTTTCTGTCGATAAACTGGAGCTTGTAATACCTAGTTGAATCGTTCTTAATTCCTTCTGAAGTCAGCACTACATACTATGCAAGTACAAATAGCATTACGTCATGAGGAACTTTTTCACTTGGAAACCCCTCTTTTTCCGCCCGAAACATTCGCTGATTCCGACGCAAGAAAAGACAGCTGGTATAAGGTCTGATACTGTGAACCAACATTTTCATATAGAATTGTAAATTCGCAAAAGACAGAGATGGATCATAACGTTAATATTAGTAAAAGAATTACGAAAAACATCATCATTTGGTCAAAAGCGGCACCACGTTCCATAAACTTTATTTCATCGTTCTTAAATTGTTACCATCTTAATCAGTCCTTTTTGTCTGATTCCCCATTTTTTTCACGTTGCGCTTCAGCATGGCGGGTTGGGGAGCCAGAAAGGTGGATTTCACGGTAGAAATTCTTTTCACGGCGCCACCACAACTATCACTAGCAGACAGCGAAACCGCCACAATTACGGCTGTAGAGTCTCTCACGGCTTCTGAAGTCATCAAAATGGACACCTTAAAGATAGAAAAGCTATTCGTAAACAAGGTCAGAGACTCTAGTGATAGCAGGCACTGAAAAATCTGCGACACCGATGGTCAAGATAGGTGAGGCACTTGATGCCTTCAAAGCCCACGCTACGATATGAAAATCGAAGCGGAAGGCTTCATAAATGGAGGAAAAGACACTGGACTTAGAGAAGGCAGCCATAAAGAACCTCAAGGAGCTGTCGCGCAAGACAGCAGCTACGGCAATACAAGGAATGGGAGGACTACCCACATACGCCTCAATCGTCGCACCGCCAGCGACCAAAGCGGCAGTCTGGATAAGAGTACAAGTAGCAGACAATATGCAACCGACAGAGCTACTCTACAAGTAAAAACAACATATACAAGGAGAATACGTCGTAATGTAGCTGATGAGCAATGTCACAAAGGTGTTCGTGCAGTCGGTCTTCCAGCGAGTCGCTGCTAGCCGGCAAAGACGAATTCTTCACCTTCCAGTGGTGCCGGTGTAATCGCTCAGTATGCTCTGCATATCTGGGATAGCCAAGAAGAATCGCATCCGAATCGAAGTCGAAAGCAAACACATGTATATCTCCATTTGACGACTTCTCAACCATGCAGCGCTCACCATTATCTTCTGAGTCCTCATCCTCTGGCTAACCACATATCATCTCGCCTCAACGGCCGATAAAGGCGTCACACCACTTAAAAACAGGAGCTTGCCTCATTCATTACCGGCTATCACTCACTACATATTTACGATACTACGTTTACCTGCGAGGAAATTAGGTCATGATAAACAGAGTTGGGGTCTTGGTCTATGGGGGACTGCTGCTCTAATGGGGTTATACATCTTAAGGAAGGAGAGGCGGCTGATATGTGGAGTGAGAGGGGAAAGAGGTCTCTGAAGACCATGCTGGGACTGACATTTTCGAGGAGTTTTCAACTTTGGGTTTTGTGTGGGCGCCAAGACCAAGATTTTGGCTAATTAGCCAGGAGAACTTCTATTGTCGATGAGTCAACGGCACTCCCCAGCGCCCTGGACGGCACAAAAGAAGTTGGGCTAAGCTACTATACAGCAATCACGCTCTGTCAAGACTTTTCTGAAATTTCAGCACGACCTTCGGGATGGAGTTGGAAGGAGGCTAGAAAGGTAGAGGGTGAATTCTCCGAGGTACCCACAAGTCTGCAGCGCCCAGCTGGCCGGCCTCATCGAACGCTTCAGAAGGATCACTTTGTCTTCGGACTTAGTCCTGTTGTCGGCATTAAGAGAGCTCCGTAGCCAGTGGTTTTTGCGATTTTTTCCGGCTGCCACACACCCGCAAATGGCCATCATTTCGTTAGCTGAAGCGGGGAGATAATGAAGGGCAAAGGGCTCCTCTAAGTGTATGATCGAATGAGGACTTGTGAGGGGTGGTACTGTTTGAGGGGAGCTGTATGGGAGGCATAGGAGGGGATATACTACTGGTATAGGTATCCCTGGCCTGTAGGCAGAGAGGACCTGCATGTCCTACATAGTCATAGGCTCAGACAGGACAATAAAATGAATTAATAAAAATAATAAGCGAGTCGCTGCATTGAGTATGGCGCAGCCAAAGGAGTTTAGCGTTCTAAAGCAGGATCTCCCTGTTGAGATTTTAGGAGTCCCATTGGGGATCAATATACAAGGAAGGAAGCATGCCAATAATAGCACAATCATATACCAAACAAAGGAGGAGACAAAATTTCAGGTTCCTGGAATCCAAATCGAATGGGAAAGATGGATTAACTATGGTAAAGGACACCAATTGCTGAGGAAAATAGCCATACTCGAAGGTCAGTAGTCCTGAACCTCCCGACCGAGGCAGTTCAACGCTAGGTGGTAAGTGTTAAAATAAGGGCTAATCCCAGTCATCAGGATTAACATGTATCCTTTATGATGATTAGATCCACTTTTGTAGTATTTATGTAGCTTAGCTCCTAGAGCCCTTAATGGTAATTAGCTGATTCAACGCCTGAGCAGAGCCCAGAGTAGCATAGCCATGCAGATAAGAAGCGAACACGTTGGGTTCAATTCCTATCTGCACAGAAGAAAAGTTCCTGGAGTAGATAATTCACGATGCCATAGTTGATATCCGTCCCAGAATGTGAAGCACATGATCATGGCCTGCACTAGCCGGGCCAAAGGAAGGGGAGAAAGGCAGAGAACTGTTCATTTGATGCAATCATGAATAATCCCAAAGATATGGCAAGGATAACCAGATGGATCCAGCAGGAAGGACAGCTAGGGCAGTTTCGACTGACGCTTGAACTCGAGGATACGATGAGGGAGAGAGGCGAGTAGTTGAAAGACGATCTACAGCCGTTAGTTGTAATGGGCTATCATCAAAACAATAAGAACGAAGTAAGCTGGCCGTAATGCTGTCTATTTTCTAATTATCTAGGAAATGGTATTTCCTAGGCTGTAGGACAAATATACATGTAGCTCTGACCCCAGGGAGGTTTATATCTATCGGATCGGTGATCATCCGCATTCTTGAGGTGATATATCGACGATTCGTAATTGTCGGATTGGCGATCACTTAAAATCCCATAACAGAACATCGGCGATTGGTACATAGATAGGCACAAGTACATGGATGTAAGGCGCAGCCTGTAACATTAGTAAGGGAGTTGACGGTATCCGTACTGGAAATAACAGTGTTAGTGCACTTCTTGCAGGTAACACGACATTAAAGTGTATACAAATTGAAAATTGAATGGGTTTTTACCTCAAAGGTGTACTCCTATCTAAATATTAGAGTTCGTAGACACTTGCATGTGCCTTAAGGCGTCAATTCGGGCTAAATGAAATCAAAATCAAACTAGCTGATTCAGTAAATTCTTTTTACAGTAAGAAGCGGCATTGTCATCATTTCAATGCTGCACACGCCCCAGCTCTGGTCACCTCGGGTGCAAGTTAAGGAGTGATTCAACTGCATTAAATGGGTACACACCCGAGTCTCTGTCGCCAAATCAATTGATGTAAGTATACAATATAGCAAGTACAGAATAAAATCTGTTCTTTAATGAAATCTAGAGATGGGAGGTTTAAAGCCTCCTGCTGTATACACAGAGAAATATTGTTACAAACGCCGATCACCACAACCTGTGTTGCTAAGCAACCGTATCCAGAATGCATCTCTGCCGTCTTGGTGCAGACAGTACAATCCCAAGGGATTAAACCCCTAACATTTGTCCCCTCTTGAGGATATGTCCCCACTCCAGTATACCTACCAACATTTTTCTCTCCAACATTATCAGTAATCCCATATCTTTGCTCGAAAATGTCTAGGGAATGTCAGATTGGTGCAAAAGCGAAAGGGCTGAAGCGTAATTGTAGTGGAGAAGAGATTGTTGGAAGCGCGAAAGGTGACTGAAGGTCTACTTGAGATCACTTGGAGGAACCTGTTGGAAAAGATTTACGTTGTAGGTAGTGGATGACAAAGATTGTATCTAGCCGGCAAGGACAATTTCTACAGCTTCTAGTGATGCCGGTGTAATGGCTCAGTATGCTCTGCATATCTGGGATAGCCAAGAAGAATCGTAACCGAATCGAAGTCGAAATCAATCACATGCATATCTCTATTTAACGACTTCTCAACCATGCAGCGCTCACCATTATCTTCTGAGTCCTCATCCTCTGGCTAACCACATAT